ACTGTCTCGCAATATGCTTGCTGAGTGAGTTTTTTTTTTTTTTGCTTGGCAGATTTTTTGCTAATTAGGAAGTGATAATTTAAAAAAAATCGGCTGAAATCTCTGTATTAGAAATGACTCATTTTGCGTTTTACTTTTATATGCGATGGTCAGAATGTACTGGCTGAACAGACATTTTTTTGTCTTATATCTTTACTGGGTCGGATGCTTTCATAGTGATCTAGGATTAGCAACGTTCGACATGAGTTGTTGATGCAAAACGCATAAAAAAGACTTCTTTAAGCATGTGAATCCTTGCCAAGCCCTTCTGGCGGGATGGATGGAGGTGGAAATGGGAGGATAGGGAGAGGGGGTACCGCCGAATTGTTATTTACTTCATTGAACAAAACGAATACCAAAATCGTCAGCAAACTGATTACCAGTTTTTCAAACAGGAACAGTATTTGTTAGAAAATAAACCACAACACTTCCAGTTCAACAAAACAAACCTGAATTATAGTCACCGTTGAATGGATTTTCAATTTTCTCGGAAAATATCAAATAGAACAGCGGTCCTCTAGCATCTGGTCGCACCCCAAAGTCTTCGTCCAGGAATCTCCTAAATCTCTTTGGCAAAAACACAATTACAAAATGCAGTTAATATTTTATCACAAAGCAAATTCTTTTTTGAATTTGTTGAGAATTCTGGACGGTCAGGTAATGAGTTATTGTTCAGACGAATGGAAAAGTTGTCTGCTGCACATTTGTGGAAACACAAAATTATAGCTGTTCCAATAGTTTATGTATATTTTTGATGCACGCACATTTTATGCTAAGTTTTTTTATAAAGCATGATATGCTGTGTTTCTCGAATTTCATTTTTTCATCCATTCTGGTTCGCACTTTTTGCAACAAAATCCCGTCTTAGCAGCCTCAAACAGTTGTCTTTTTTTCGTATTTTTATAGTCTGGCAAAAAAAATCTATTTTTTTTCCTCGGTTTTTGTAATTATATTCAAGACTTAAGCGTAGTGGAACTTATGAGGTCTGAGAACGCAATTCTGCCTTAGTATCCTCAAGCACTCGTTTTTTTTTTCGTATTTTTAGAGTTTAGCCAAAAAATGTGTTCCTTTTTCCTCTCAGTTTGTGCAGTTGTATTCGAGATTTAAGCGTAGTGGAAGTCATTGGGTGAATTTATTATAAAATTCAATTCTTGAAGGAAAATTATGCGAAAAGATGTGATTACGATGACACCCAGAGAGCGTGTTTCGCATGTTCTCGAAGTTTTGCGTGCCACATCGCATCATGGTTTTCCGGTTGTTGATCAGATCGATTGTGCAACAGATGGACAAAACATTCCGACATACGGCCATCTCAAGGGACTGATACTGAAGTCACAATTAATTACGCTTATTCAAAAACGGGTTCGTACGCTGAACACCATTGCTGCTTGATTAAAAATTTGTTGTTACCGATGTGTTTTGCTGTTTATAGGGCGGCAACTTGAAAGAATAATCGAATTTTTGGAATATAAAGGAATATTGAATAATGGTGGACAATGGAAGAGAAAATAACATTAAGAAATTAGTGAAATTAGTAGAATTATTTTAACTGAATTATTATGATGATAAGAAATGTTTCGGTCCATTAAGTCGTATACATTTCTTGGCATTACAACAACTGGACTTCGTCAGTAGGGCCACAATCTCTGAAAAACTAAACAAAAATCATAAATTTTTGTTCCGGTTTTCCAAGGTTACTGTTACTGGGGTGCAGCCAAAGCTATGCGCAGTTATGCTAGGTTCTTCTATCTTGCGATATGCATTCTACGAAAAAATACGAAAGGAGTTTTGATTTTTCACTTAAAAAAACTTTGGCAGGCCATTACGCGGCTTTCACGCTTACCTGGGGGATAGGATTCCGCGCATCAACACCTGCTTGGATGGGGAGCATCACCCTAATATTTTAGCATTCTAGCTTCTCAAAATCCCGAGTTATGAACTCACCGAGGAAAATTTGGCCTCTACTACGTTCGCCCGTCACTCTTTTAAAAGTCTATTCAATTATTGTTTTTTTTTTTCATCTTGCAGCGCGAATTATGGCTCAGAATGTCATTTTGGCTTGCTCGAAAAAACGGATTTTCTTCGTCTCTCCATAAACTTCGCCTTTTTTTTCACTTCCTCTGCCAAAGGTCTTTGCAGTCGTTGTGCTTCGACTTGCCCTTGTCTGCTCAGTTACACTTGTGACACTCGTGGTGATTTCTGGAAAAATTTTGCTACTGAAATATTTCGAATAACAGCTATGATTCTTTGCAGGTATTTTATAAAGATTATGATTGCCAATTTTTGGCCGATGGAAGTGAACCACTAACACTTTCCCACTTTACTGAAGAGTATCCAAGGTAATTACTGGAGAATATTCAACGCTTTTGCTCTTTTTTTTTTTGATTTTTCGCTAATTTAGAAAAGACTTGCATCGGAAAACAGTTCTGTTTCAGATACGATTTATCTTTGGCTAACTTACAAATCTCAGCAAGGGATGCGAATTGTTGGCTTGATCTAGTTCCGTATATGCACAGAAGTCCACATCGTGTTCCACTGGATGCATCACTGCCATCAATATTTCATCTGTTTCGTGGATTAGGCCTACGATACGTCATAGTTGTTGATGATGAAAATAAGGTGCTGTTTTTATGATTTTTTGGGAAAAAATTGGGTTTTTTGCCTACATAAAATAATAACTGGTGGGAGGAAGACACATTTGCACATTGGGCTTTTTTGTTTAAAAAAAATTTCTTTCCGAAAACATTCGAGATATAGGTAAATAAAAGTAGAAAAAACACACATATAGAAATAATGATATGAATATGGATAGGAAGAAATCAAAACGATTTGTAAAGTAAAAACCAAATTATGCAGTTTTAGGATATATTTTTTTCTGAAGTTGATTCATGTGGCAAGTCAATTTACAACATAAATTATGCAGTTTTAGGATTTTTATGCATGCATGCATACATATGCACATACATATACACATACATGCATACGTACATACATACATACATACATACATACATACATACATACATGTATTTGCATAAATATATGTATATATACATCCTAAAACTGCATAATTTTTGCATTGTAAACTAACTTGCAATATTTCAATGTTTTCCATCCAGAATTATATTGGAAATTTTTTAGCTGCGTGGCATCATCACCCGAAAGGATCTTGCCCGTTTCAAGGAGCGTCGAACTTTTGAAAAATATTCAGTGCGCGAACTGTTTGTATCAGATTTCGAGACATAAACATGTTGTATTGGTTTTAATTTGCTCATTTTTTGTAACAAATTTTTTGCTAAGTTGGCTTTTTATTTGTCCATATATTACAAAAAATGGTATTTTCGCAAAATCATTAGGCGTCGTTAAACTAGCCAGCGAATTAAAGCTTATCGAGGTATTCCAGGTAAGGACATCTAAAAGCCATTACTTACAAGAGGGTTGTTTAATCATCGGCAAAACGAGAGTATCATATGTCCGGCATTCGTTACTTTCAAAATCGCCTTAGTTTTGCTTTTTTCCTTGTTTTCTCTTTTTATGGGTTTTTTTTTTTTGACTTTTTCAAACCAAACTTCGCTCTTTCTAGCGCATTTTACTACTTTTGTTTGCAAGTATTTTCTGGATGCTTTAAGCAAAAGTTTTGTGATCTCATTTGCATGTATTTAGAGGCTACTATACTTTATATCGCTTCTGTTTTTTTTTTCATATTTGCTGTTTTCTTTTTTTCATAATTGCTTTTCCATACTTGCTTGTTTAGTCAATTTTGAATTTTAGGTGCTGTTGAAATATCAAGAGTACCAAGATGGTTGGACTATTCGATTTGTATATTCCATGTTAGTAATGTTTCCTGGCTATACCAGGCACTCTGATCCCGAGGTTCATAGTTCGGTGTGTGTTTAACAGCTAAGGGATGAAACACAGACAGACTGCATCATAAAATGTCTTCGTACAATACAGACTACATCGTAAAATGTCTTCTTACAAACGACGCTTAGCTCCAATTTCTGTATTTTATTATTTCACAGTTCTCTTTGATATCTGCCGCCTCCTTGATTTTTGTGAACATCTGAAATAACTGTGTAAATACAATAATAGAATCAGTTTTTCCGAAAATACTTCATGTATTAATATGTATTTGTTGTATACGTTGCATGTTATTCCCCAGTGTTTTACAATAAACATTCATTTATCTTGCCTTTTAGCCAGCTGTGGGTGTAAAAACCGTGACTACCTATACACATTTCAGACACCAATGCTGCAAAAGCCCGGATCTGTTCATAAATAAATGGTCAGCGTACTGACTGCCGATGCGAAGATGCGTTTTTCGCATAGTTCGCCGCAGATTTTTGTTGCTAATGGCAACGGATGCTTCTAGCTAAACGAATTAAGACTGGCCGCCAGGACGGTCAAAAAACACTTCCTTAAAACTACAGTCTTTTAGCTTTTCAGGCTCCGAATTAGTAACTTATTCGTGGGGAAATTTCGGGGGCCCAAGCATAGCCGGTGTTTGAGTTTGAACTCATTAACACTTGTATGGACGGGGAACATTTCCTTAAAATTACAGCCTTCTAGATTTTCAGGTTCCCGAATTAGCGACTTACCCATAAAAGAAATTTTAAGGGTCCATGCGTGGGCACCACGCGGGTAAGAGTGCCCATTTCGTACATGCATGAAAATTAAGTTCCCAAAGTTTCAGCCTTGTAGCTTTTGTAGGTTTCGAGATGAAAAATCGGTACAGACGAGCTCATGCATGCACACACACGCACACACATACACATACACACATATACACACACACACACACACACATTACTCGTCAATATGCGTTTTCCGAATTGCATAGCTGCAAAAAATGCATAATAAAACTGAAGTAACTCTAAGTAGCAGTGTTACAACTCTGTTCCTGGTTTTTGCATGGTTCCAAGATGGAAGGGGGACGGCGAAAGAGGTTCCAGGGTGGAAGGACCCCCCCCCCCCC